AAATACATGTTGAGGCAGCCACACCCACCTTCTGAGGCTCACAAGGATAAATATGTAATACAATTATATAAATATGTAAATATTATGAATATTTGTGTCTGCGTTTATATATATACACTAAATACATATACATATATAAATTATGAATATATGTAAATACACATGTGTATATACTTACATATGCAGATATATGATATATATATATATATATATATATATATATATATAGTACACACATATATATAAAATATATATATATATAAATATATAATATATATATATATATACATACATACACAGTACATATATATACACAATACATGCATATATGTATATAAATGTATATATATTTAATGTACAACTATTTATCTATCAATCAAGGAAACCATGAAATTACAAAGTAATTTAAATTGCAAGAAAAATACTGAGGCGGCTAACAATTGATCCTTCCCCAGGAGAGTAGTTGGTCAGGTAATCACTGTTAGTGGCCCTCAACCCATCGTATCGATAATAGACTCACCCACTGCGTACATGAACGCGCGCAGCGCACGTACGTACGCACGCACGCGCGCGCACAGTGTATATAGAAAAAAATACATACATAAGTATATATATATATATATATATATATATATATATATATATATCATGTATACATATATATATCACCTATGCATGTATTTATATATGTACACATACATACATGTGTATGCGTGCGTGCGCGCGTGTGTGCGTTCGTTTAAATATAAAAATACACATACAAATTTATACATAAATATACATACACATGTAAATATATATATGCATATATACAGGCATATATATATCATATGCATAAAATGTGTAATTTAAGAAAAATCACAATATTCATCAAATTCAACGAATTCAGTATGTAGGCCATATTCTTAACACGAGGAAAACATTATACGGGGAAATTATACGCACACAAACACGTGTATATACAGACAAAAACACATACATACATGTGTGTATATATATATATCTCATGTATACATATATATAACATATGCATATATGTATATATGTACAGACACATAGATGTCTATGCGTGCGTGCGCGCGCGTTTGTGTGCGTTTAAATAAAAAATGTACACATATACAAATTTACACATACATACATACATAAACATCCAATAGTGTGTAAAGTAAATTAAGAATAATCTTATTTTCACCAATTCAACAAAATCTCCTGTAATGTAACCCACAAGAAACAAAAATTAAGGTGGTAACGATGGTATTTTAAGAGTAAAATTGAGATAAATCCCTTTATAACACGAGATCAAAACCCAAGAAAGTGGCAGGTGAAAATAGTACATTTAATTTATATAATATAGTATACAAGCAAACCAAAATATATGTTGACAATTTGAAGGTGCTAGTGAATTATACATATCTATATATATACATATATGTATATATAAGCATAAATATACCACACATATATATAAGAAAATATATATAAAAGCACACACAACTGATCCTTCCCCAGGGGAGTAGTTGGTTAGGTAATCATTGTTAGTGGTCCTCGACCCATCATATCGACGATAGACTCACCAACTTTATGCATGAATGTTCGCGTGCACGCACGCACGCGTGTATATAGACACAAAAATACATACATACATACATGTGCGTATATATATATCTCATGTATACATATATATCACATATGCATGTATGCATATATGTACACACACATACAAATGTGTATGTGTGCGTAAGCACATGTGTGTGTGCGTGCGTTTGTTTATATATACATATATATACATATATATACACATATTTATACATATATATACAAACATATGTACATATTTATACAAACATACATAAATATATATACATGTAAATATATATATACATATGCATATGTATATATATATATATACATTTTATATATAAAATGCGTATGTATTAGGGATAACACGAGTTAAGATTTACAAAATAAATCTTAACTTTGTAACCCATAAGAAACATTTTTAAAAAATAAGATGGTAACAAGTGCAAAAAACTGGCAGGTCAAAACATCTACATAACAATGCATATAGACAAATATTTATATACAGTACACACACACATATATATATATATATATATATATATATATATATATATATAATACATGCATATATGTATATAAATGTATATATATTTAATGTACAACTATTTATCTATCAATCAAGGAAACCATGAATTAGTTCGACTTACAAACCAATTTAAAATCCAAGAAAAATAAACAAAGGTGTAAAGTAAATTTAGAACATTCTTAATTTTCCTCACATTTAACAAAATCTCATGTAATGTGAATCAGACGCTTATCACAAGAGAAAGACATTATACATTACACAAAGTGGTAATAATGGTATTTCTAAAGAAAAAAATCACATAAAAGGTGTATTAATGGGAGATCAAAACCCAAGCGTCATAAGTGCAAAATGATGGTAGGACAAACCGGTTCATCTAATTTTCATACTGTATATAGACACACATGTTAAGCATCAAGAGGTGCTAGTGAATGAAGTGTCATGTTTCATGCCACGGGATTGAAGTCACCAACTGATACTTGCAATCATTTACCAATGGAGTGTAATGTAAATTAAGAAAAGTCACAATTTTCATCAATATAACGAATTCAGTAAGCCATATTCTTATCACAAGGCGAAAACATTATACGGGTATGACATAAATCCCATATTAGCACGACGTGGCAGATGAAAATAGTACATTTGATTTACATAACTTAGTATACACACATTTCAAAATATATGTTAACAATTTAAAGGTGCTAGTGAATTATACATATCTATATACATACACATATCTATGTATATATAAGCATATATATACACAAACATATATATATAAAAGCACACACATATATGTACTTGACTTTTTACTTTCTTTTTTTTCCTTTTACTGGGGCGGCTAACAATTGATCCTTCCCCAGGGGAGTAGTTGGTTAGGTAATCATTGTTAGTGGTCCTCGACCCATCATATCGATGATAGACTCACCCAATATGTGCATGAATGCGCGCGTGTACGTACGCACACGCACACACACACACACGCGTGTATAGACACAAAAATACATACATGTGTGTATATATATATATCTCATGTATACATATATATATCACATATGCATGTATGCATATATGTACACACACACATACATGTGTATGAGTGCTTGCGCGCATGTGTGTGCGTTTGTTTATTAATATAAATATATATATATATATATATATATATATATATATATATACATGTACATATTTATACATATATATACACATACATATGTACATATTTATACATGTATATACATACATGTATAAATATTTACATATGTATATACATACATATGTAAATATTTATACATGAATATCATATAGATGTAAATACATATATATATGCATATGTATATGTATATGTATATATATATATTATACATAAAATACCTATCTATCAAGGATACCACGAGTTAGATTTACAATATAATTTAAATTTCAAGAAAAAAAATCCAGTAAATTAAGAATTCTAATTCACCAAAATTCAACAAAATCTGTAATGTGAACAATAAGAAACAAACAAATTAAGGTGGTAGCAATGGTGTTTTGAGAGTAAAATTTACATACACACAATATATATACACATATATATAATTTCATTAAATTGAACAAAATATCCTGTAATCTAGCCCATATACGTATTACAGGAGAAAAAAAACTTCATAAGCAATTATTAAAGTTGTGACAATGGTATTTTAAATTTGGAAATTTGGTATAAAAGACGTATTATTGCGAGATCAAAATCCATACGTCATCAGTACAACTGATTTGATTCACGTAACATTGCATATAGACAATTGCAGCCACATCCATTTATTTTATTTATTTTTTTTTTATATAATTTTTATTTATTATTTTTATTCTTTTTTTATCTTTTATTTTTTATTTTTTTATTTTTTATTTTTTTATCTTTTTTTATTTTTTATCTTTTTTTATTTTTTTATTAATTTTTTTTTATTTTTTTTAATTTTTTTTATTTTTTTTTATTTTATTTTTTTTTATTATTTTTCTTTTTCTTTTATATATATATATATATATATATATATATATATATATATTTTATATATATATATATTTTTTTTTTTTTTTTTTTTTTTTGCAAAAGGATGAGAATGGTCACAGTGTTTCTTGAAAAGAAAGTTGGGTCATTGCTTCTTGAAAAGGAAGTTGGGTGTGAGGTCACCGATTGATACTTGCAATGTAAATTAAGAAGAATCTTCAATCTTTTCATCAAATACAACAAACATAATATGTAAACAATACTCTTATAACAGAAAAATATAACAAAGGGTAAACTTATTAAGGTAGTAACAATGGGATTTTACACGGAAAACTGACATAAACCTTGGCAGCCACATTCGCGGTTTGAAGCTCATGGAGGGAACAAAGTGTCTGGGAAGGATCATCGGTCAGTAGTTCGTCAAACGCACATCGGTGATGGCACGAATATGAACGAACGTATTTATGTATATAAACATGTATTTATAAACATATATATCGAATATCATTACATGTGCATATGCATACATTGATATGCATATGTGAATACATAGATGCATATATATATATATAGTTGAATGTACCTATGTATATAGATAAAATATACATATGTATATAGATACAATATACATATATAGTTGAATATACATATGTATGTAGATACTATATATATATTTATATATGTACATATACGTATATATAAATTATATATACACATATATGCGCGCGCATGTATGCATGCATGCATGCATGCATGCATACATACATACATACATATACACACACACACACACACATGCATACATACATACATATACACACACACACATGCATGCATACATACATACATATACACACACACACACACACACACACACACACACACACACACACATACATTTACACACACACACATGAAAGAACACCAGATACTAACCATGAAACGTTTTAAAGACAAAGGAAAATCTAGGCAGTTATATTCACCGTCTGAAGCTCAAGGAGGGAACAGAGCGTCTAGGCGTCTGGAGGAGGACGAAGACGAAGGCGAGGACGAAGGCGAAGGCGAAGGCGAGGACGAAGGCGAAGGCGTAGGCGAGGACGAAGGCGAGGACGAAGACGCAAAGACCTATTCAAAATCGGAAGAGAAAACTTGAATAAATTACGGGGACACTATTTTAAAATTGACGTTTTTGGAGGAAAGTATTCCTTCAGGTTAGATTTCAATTTCAATTTCCTATGGCTTCCTAAAAATGTTTAAATTCAGATCAGATTAGTAGGCGTCAGCAACTTTATATTTATTATAAGAAAAAGGACGATTTTCTTTCAGAGAGTGACTTCTGACTGAGGACTTCTTAGGCTTTGAGAGCTTGATTTTTGCTTGAGCTTGAGATGCTAAGTAAAGGAAAACCTGATCTTTTTTATACATGTCATCCATACAACGACCTTAGGGGATGCGTGGGGGACCGGGGGATGAATGGGGGGGGGGGTAGCAATAGGAACCTGGAGAAATCGAAGTGATTTATGAAACCTTAAAAATTCACATTTTCGAAAACACGAGCCTTTGTCCGACGGACGAAAATGGCTCCCGAGTGAACAAGCGCAAAACGAGATGCACAGTCTATTTCAGAAACGCCTAGTCAAGTTTCTAGCAATATAATTATAATAAGACACTTAAGTCACATGTAAGTAAACAGTGTGGTATCAAGCGAACCCAAAACTCCAAACCTAACCTTACCTACCATCTATTTATTCCCTAGACGAGGGGACAGTCTCCAGTACCCCCCCCCCCAATTAGTAATTCGTGCCAAGTGACACAGCAAAGTTACACAAAATATTTGTCACACATACCGTCAGTGTGGAGGCTACAGGTGAGCTGCCATGCCATTGTCTTGCTTGGAAATAGAATGTCCCTCCCTGCAGAGTCGCAAGAAAAGCTCTCCGCTTAGCTCGGCGACCGCCACGGATCCAGCAAGAGGCCGGCCTGCCCGCCCGCATGCAGCCAAAATCGTCCCTGCCGACAAAAAAAAATCGTCAATAACACAGGAATGATCTCTGACGATAAAAGTGACACAATGGTAATAAAACATTATTTAAATGGAAAATCTAACCCACGTCACACTGACAACAGCACTACGAGGATGTATTCACAACAAGACCTTGGCGGGAACTGAGGCAGCGGTCGCATTCCGCCGCATGGGAGGCAGTTACGGGAAACAAGCAGTTGCGTCGTTAAATAGTTAAGAACGGATAATGGAAATGAGAAGGAAAATCGAAATAAAAACGCACATAGTTTTGAGAAAGCAACAAAGCAGATGCATTAGCATTCAAAAACGAGAGATAAGATAATGAGGAATATAAAAAAATAATGATATAAAATGACTAATTGCTAATGATTTCTAGGCTTCTCAACGGAAAGCGCGACCCTCATGGGCAACGGAAATCGCCATGAAACATCCACGTATTACAGCTAAATCTAATCAAATCTGTGCAAAATCGCTGATACTTTTGTAAATGCTTCTTGTAAATGGGCCGTGGCTACGCCATCTAATAGCGTCCAACCGAACAAATGAAGTGACTAGTTATTTTTATTTTCGTCGCTAAACGCGTAGAGTAAACAGAAAACATGATACATAATTTTCTTCATTATAGAACATTATCTGAACGCAAATTCGTAGTAGGCCTACAATGCATATATAGATGCTGATAATTAGAACATCAAAGTTGACGTATAGGGCAATGCTATGTATAAACATATAGATCTACCAAATTTTGAACTAAATTATTCTAAGAACATACTGAACAAAGCTTTATGATATTTAGGGTATATTTCATCCAGCAATGGAGCTTCCCTGCGCTCTCCACACACTGCTGGGCGAACTGGAGGCGATTTGGCAATGTCGTTTGTTTAACCTTTCTTTGATAACTTCTGTGAAGCTATAACTCTTAAATGTAAAAAATCAAAGTAATTCCATCTCGTGGTTGCTGATTCTAGGAGAGAGAGTGGTGTCAGAAAATGCAAATGAAATATACAATTATTGAACAACAAAATAGGAGCCCTCCGTGGCAACACCGTTTTCGAGCATCCTCCTCACTCGCGGGATAAAACGCTCGTGCCCTCGGCTTCGGCGAAGGGAAGGCGACCGAAGGTCATGTTGCAGTATGAAGGGAGATGCAAGAGAGCGCCTGGCAATGTAAAGTAGTCTCTTCCAGTCTCTTTAAGGAATATACAGGGCAAAACGACGCCACGCCGTTGCGCCGACTGGAGTGTGTTGCCACCTCGAGTGCGTCAGTTTCCATAGACGGTAATATTTGTAAGCCTGTGGGAGAGGGGGGGGGGAGATATCCAGCATTGTTTTAAGCCTCCTGGTGTGTGACGACGTGATATTGCATACTGTATATATACATATATACGGGCCCCGATTTTACTTGCAAAGGGAGTGTGGTCGCCGATTGTTCCTTGCAAAAGGAAGTGAGGTCACCTATTGTTCCTTGCAAAAGGAAGTGAGGTCACCTATTGTTCCTTGCAATAGGCATTGAGGTCACCGATTGTTCCTTGCAAAAGGGATGAAGGTTACCAATTGTAACTTGCACTCTTTATTCCCTTTTGCAAGGATCAGTCGATGATCTCACTCTCTTTGCAACAAACAATCTGTGACCTCACTTCCGTTAACTAGTAACAATCGTTGACCTCATCGATCGTTGCTTATAAATGGGAGCGAGGTTTTTAGCTTAGTCATTTTAAGCTAACATAATCTGGTCCTTCCTTTTGTTTTGTTTTAATTTGCCCTTTTGATTTGCATTTTATATACTCCCGTTTTCTATTTCGTTTCGATTTGCCGTTTCTCTGATTTCTTGTGTTTTTTCTGTTTTTATTTCATTATTTTTTATTTGAATATTGTAAGGTCCTGCGAACCAAAACATTTTAAAGAATTTATAGAATGTTTTATTATGAATAAGAACTAAAAAAGTTAAGTACCGTTTGTTTAAGGCCAAAGGACGTAAGGATTTGCTTATGATTATTGGAATGTCCTTTGTTTTCTCTTTGTTTTTTTTTAACTTTCTTTTGCATGGTTCCTGCATGTTATACTAATTACATTTTATTTTATATTTGCTCACGATAAGTTCTACTTTACTTTTAAGTCTTTCACCTGCTTTATTTGCGGTTTGGTTCAGTTTGATCTTCATTATTCTACTTGGGTTTTATTAACTATAATCAAATTTAGCATTAGATATAGTTCACTTTTTAGCTTTTTGCAGTGTTTTATTTGCTGTAGAGTTCGGTTTCAATCCCCACTAGTTTTGTAGTCTTTGGTCTCAGTTTTAGCCACCGTTTTGTTCAACTTTCTCTTAATGAATATTGTGTTGCTTATTTTGTTTTCTGTGAGCCTCCATCCTGTCAACTATCTGCTGCAGTAGCAGCAGTAATGGTAATCATTATGAAGAAGTAATAATGATGATTCTGATACCATGATAATGATAACAGCAATAGCGATCATGATACTAATGACTGTAACATTAATAATATAGTGACAATAAAAACGTTGATGTTGATAATTAACCATGATGGTGCTGTTAATTATTAATAATCGTAACAGTAAAAGCAATGAAAATTGTAATGGTAGTAAAAATAACGAAAATGACCAAAATGGATATTATGGAAATTGTGATAATAACAACGATAATAGTGATAACAACTTTCGTTACGTTTATCATATTTTTCATAATATCAATAAAAGGGTTGATGATAATGGTGCTGACAATAACAAAACTACTAATAATCTTGACAACAATAATAAAGACAACGAGAATAATAACAATAATATTGTATTGTTGCAACTGATTAACTACGGCGATAATGATGTGCGGCCTCAATTAATAAGAAAAGAACTTTTATTTGTGGCATCAACATCCAACTTCTCCCTCTTTCACTTTCCTTCACCCTCTCTCTCTTTTTCCTTCACTCTCTCTCTCTCATTCCTTCTCTCTCTTCTGTGTATGTGCGTGCGTGCATGCATGTCTTTCTCTCTCGCTCGCCCAGGCTTTGTGAATGGGGCAGGGGATCCTCCCCTCTTTTCCTTGGTCATTAAGGAACGCTTTTTAATACTTTCAATTTAAGTACTGATTGCCATGAACGCACCTGTTTAGACACGGAGCCCAGGGGAGTCCGGGTAGCTGGAACGGTAACTAATTTTTATGTATATCCTATGATCCCATGTCCATTCCTCAACATGCAACCAGACCACTGGCAGATATCACGTGGTGGGTGTGGCCATGAGAGCAGTTGAAATGATACCCGTGTTATGATCTACATTAGCTTTGTTAATTCTAAAAGCACCAGGGATTGGGGAGGCCTAATGTCATGTGCCAGTAATTTCCAGTGGTGGGCACCCCCCGCCAGTAATCAGCATAAATACATTCATGGGCTATTTAGATCAGCTTGTAAGGTAATCTGATGAAATCTTTTGCAAAATTTTGGGTAGGAACCAGGATCTTACATGCGACATACAAACTCTGAGAGGGTCTCTACATCTACTTTGGTTCCCCATTTTGATGAAGGCATTAATGAACTTGCCGGATTCATTTTTCTCAAAGATCTGATTGATTGATTATTAAAAATTATCTGCCGCGTCAACAGCTAAGTTCATTAGCGGCGAACACAATGTTTGATTGAAATATTAAAATATTTAACACGTCGTAAATAACAATAAATATTGTATAAAAAAATCAAAGCATACAGCAATATGCTCTCAATGTCTAAAATTATTGCATAAACATTGCGTATAATTAAATTTTATTGAAAATATTAGTCTCCCTAAGGAAACTAATCACACCTTCTATGTCACAATCCTCCCCCAATGCAACAGTATATATGGGGGAGACAAGTACAAACGTCTTTGGTCTGAGAATGTTGCACATCTTTCCACTACATGTGCGACCGTTATTGGCTCTTGGCATTCCTCACAGCGTGCTTCACTTTTAGCCATCATCATCCCAAGAGTCAGTCTTGTTAATAGAACTTCTACTTGTCGGTTGGGATGGATGCTGGTCACGAAACCGCTAAGGTCATCTCTAATCTCTCGCAGCTTGTTTCCAGAGTTATGCCTCCATTGTTCCCTCCATTTATTGCGAGGACAACTCCTGATGCTGGGTTTCAGGTCAGTGTGTGGGAGAGGAAAACGAGCATCACAGGGCTGAGCCACTCTTGAACCGCCCTCACCACTGGGTGTGATGTTTAAGCTTTTGATTGCTTGCAAGGCACTACGAGAGTCACAATATATTACAACAGAATGGTTCGTAAGATCTCTTGACTTGATCATCTTAACTTCTGCAAGGTTGGCATGTAACTCTACAGTGAAGATCGAAGCTGATAGAGAAAGATTGCCAAATGTAGTCTTCCTTCTGCTCACTGCTGCAAAGCCCACACCATTTTCAGATTTTGAACCATCAGTATATATTGCATCTGATCCTTTGTACTTAGAAGTGTGCTGAAGAAATCTCTCTCTGACTCGGATCTTTTCCCTTTCCCAATGCCGTCCAGATCCGGCTCGACTTGATTGGTCCAAGGGGGAATTGGGGAGTTCCAACAGCCAGAACTTATGTAAGGATTTCCACAAGATTCCTCATTCTCCTACCATAGGATTGGTTATCCTCAAGGGGTTTGAACACCAATCTGGATGTAGGAGATCCCGGAATCCTTTGTAGTAAATCAGGTTCATGTAGTCCCGGTGTAATACAAGAGTTGATTTTCCACTCTCAGCATACAGGGACTCCACAGGTGAAGACCTGAAAGCCCCTGTACAGATTCTTCGAGCTTCAAAATGAACTGAGTCCAACATCCAAAGAACAGTTGCCGATGAATAAGCCTCACATCCACAGTCAAGTTTACTACGAATAAGTGCTCAGTAAAGTGGCAGAAGCATTGTGCGGTCTGCACCCCAAGATAGGTGTGAAAGAACCAACAAAATACTAAGTGCTTTTGTAGCTTTCACCTTTAACTGTTTGAAGCGAGGCACCCATGCAAGCCTTCAGTCAAAAATTAGACCAAATTATTTCACCTCTTCGACAAAATGCACAGCATAGGGTTGGGCACACATGGCTTTACCTTGAGGTGGTACCATGCCAACTTAACTGATTCTGGAAGGACTAACGTTCCAAAAGTTAGGAGAGCTGGTGTCGACTGCTCCAAATCATCAACTTCCTTCTTAAAACGTTTTACTGCTACTACATTAAAATTCTTAAATTCCTCTAACAGAATACCCCATTAGGTCTCAGGAAAAGAC